ATATAAGTACTTTAAATAATATATACTATTTTGTTTTTTTATATTACTCATATTTATTTATAAATTTACATTTTATTTTTAAAAATACTGCTCCACAAAACACTGAGCCCATTTATTTTCGTATCTTCAATTACGTCAAAATACGCATCTGTCAAAATTTCGCGCCATTCCATTTCCAAAGTGACAGTTCTGTTTTTTTTTCAGCTCATATTGTGCGTGTCACTTTTACACAGAGAGGCAAAGGCACAGACAGGACCCATAGCTGGATTTATAAGAACGAACCTCATTGGTCATCCAGTGATACATGACAAGGTTTCTTATGTATTCGACCCTGATGTGGCTGTTAAAAGACGAAGACAGTTCATTTCTTTGCATGGGGATAAAGGGGAGAAACTGATTGAGAGGTTAGGTTTGGGAATAGATGGGAGGGACGAAGAAAGGCTAGAACAACAGAGACAGAGGGATGAGGGTCATTTAGGTGGTCTCAACTTTTATCTACCTTAGTACGTTAGGAATTTTAGGTTATTTAATGTAGGTAGGTACAGTTGTAGTTGTAAATAAATGTATCTAGTAAGTGTAGTGTTGTTTTATTGACGTTTATAATTAATTATTCTCTGAATGTTGGGATCTTTGCCTCTAGGAATTTAAAGTGACGATGAAAATGTTCTACGAATTCAACAGATCTAGGTTAATCAAACTGAACTTGAAACGACAACGTAAAAACCCTAATACATCTTCGTTTTTCGTAAAAATATGATTCACCAACTGATTGGTCATAAAAAAAAAACATTATTTTGCTCAATTTCATCATGTGTTATTTTAAAGTAGATGACTTAACATGGTCTTTTAAAAATAAATGTAATAACTACCAGTTGTTTTTGACATCTATAGCTACCTAACCTACCTATTGTGATTCTTATCTATACTAATATTATAAAGAAGTAAATTTTTTAATTTTGTATGTAAGGAGGTAATACTTGAAACCGCTGTTCGGATTTCTAAAATTCTTTCACTAATAGATAGATACAATGTTCCTGAGTGCTCACCCTACGAATAGGAATCGATAAAGCCGAGCAAAAATAGCTAGTCTATAATATAATAACATTTTTTTATGTAATAGGTCGGCAAACGAGCAGACAGATTACCTGATGGTAAGCAATTAGCGTCGCCCGTGGACACCCGCAACGGACGAGTTACGAGTGCGTTGCCGACCTTTTAGGGATAAGGGTTATGGAGATTTAGGGATCGGGATTTAGGGGAAGGATTGTGCCTCCGGTAACCTCACTCACACGGCGAAACACAACGCTGTGGTTGTTTTACGCCGGTTTTCTGTGAGGCCATGGTATCACTCCGGTCGATCCGACCCATTCGTGCCGAAGCATGGGCTCTCCCACACTGGATATTACAATTATACATATTCTGAACACTAAATATCAAATACAGTCACCAAACGCAGATAAACTAGGAGTAATTTCTGCATTTACACAATATATTTTTAGCTTAAAACCTTGAACCGTAGTATTCAGAACGATCATTAGTTTCACAAACAAATCTTTTAGTCTATAAATAATCTAAAAACATAATTCCTTTAGCGTACCTACTTCATTATAACCTAGCTACTCTTGCGCGGTTTCACCTGCTACTCGGCTCCATTTAATCTTAGCGTGATGTTTTATAGCCTAGCACTCAGGATCATTGTAGCTATCTATCAGTGAAAGAATTTTGGCAATCCGACCAACGGTTCTATAGATTACCCCCTAAAACCAACAAACAAATTTTACCTCTTTATAATATTAGTATAGATGACGTCAGCTCTCAGAAAGATGTTTACTTACTGTTGAGGAAAGGTAATGTAACTTCCAGTACATCTTCTTACTGGTAGAGAAGAGAAGAGATATATCTCTTCTTAGTCCACCATAAGGAATAGATTCCATAGTTCACCACGTCGAAGGACTAGTCATCCAGTGACTTCTAGGTTCCACATCATGAAAGTCAAATACTTGCAAGAAAAATTTTTTTTTAAGTTTATTGTGTATTTGTTCTATTTTTAAACTATTCCGCTTCTGGTCTCTAAGAATACCATACATAAATACAAATTGTTGACGTTAAAAGCTATTAAAAATAAATTAATAAAATATTTCAAAACATTCCTTGATGGGAATAGCGATTATATTGCAAGTCATTTGAAGGTTATGAATGATCGTTACTGTTCTCCATTTGAATATTATGCAAGCGTAGTGTTGCCACTATAATTTATACTAAACCTTGGCCTGATACGTGCAACACCACATTTGGTGATTGTGTCCGGTTTTGTTGTGATAAAACCGGTGCCGGTGGTTTATCCTACATAAGTAAGGATAGACGGTTTGAAGCTGATACTAGTGTTTCCTATCAGTTTAACGACAGTTTGGTTCTACGTCTCTGAGACATATTAGTGACTTCTACATTGGAATTTGATTAATTACTCAAACCCTGAGCAACCGCGCTTTTAAATATATTTTTGTACCACGCAAAAGTTAAGTGTGTGAGAGCCAAGCTTGTTGTGTTTCGCCGTGTGACTGAGGTTACCGGAGGCCCAAACCTCGACGTTCATACTATACAGCATGATGACATGAGCATGAGACTTCGCATTTTGTTAGTATACCTATGCCTTGTTATACCTAAAATCTTATTTTGAAAAAAGTACCTAGGTAATAATTAAAATTTCCATCACCATTCTGTTCAAAGTATACTTACTACTTTTTTAGAAGAATACCTATTTACCTACCTACTTTCTTTCTTTATGAAATATATCGGCAAACAAGCAGACGGATTACCTGATAGTAAGCAATCAGCGCCACCCATGGACACCCGCAATGGAGGAGTTACGAGTGCGTTGCCGACCTTTTAGAGATTAGGGATTTGTAGATTTAGGGATTGAGGAGTGATTGGGGAGGGGAAGGATTGGGCCTCCGGTAACCTCACCCACACGTCGAAACACAACGCTGTGGTTGTTTCACCCGGGTTTTCTGTAAGGCCGTGGTATCACTCTGGTCGAGCCGACCCATTCATGCCGAAGCATGGTTTTCCCTATTCTTGCTCGTTCTTCTCAGTACAAATATAAATTTAGGAAGGAACACCTAGTTTCAATGACGGACAATTCAAGTAAACTTTTTCAAAGTGTCTGTTTAATGATTAACCGAAATAAATGCGTTGACTTTTGAGGGCCGGGGAGAAGCACACCATTACTACCACCACCTTTGGTTTTTAAATTTCGATACCTTTTTTAAAAGAGTCGAGCCAGGCCGAGATCGTTAGTCCAGTTTTGGGCTACCGGAAGCTGTTGATGTGATGTACCAACATAATGGTTCCCTTTCATCATGGATTTTTAGTTTTATTTTTAAGAACATCTTGTCAACCTCCCCCACAGTCTGCAAACATAGAGGTCTGTCTGTCTAGGATGCTTGGTTGGTGTTTTTCTAAATGTACTTTATACGATCATCTGGACACTGCTGACTGCATGGTTGACGCGGAGGCTGGACAACTGGCTGTCGAGCAACGTGTCGCGGGTTCCATTTTGGCACGGAATAACTCTTTGTGTGATCCACAAAACAGGAGAAAGTCCTAGCGTGGGGTAACGATTTTATATAAAAAAAAAAAACAAAAAGAAACTACTATATGGCAAAGGTTAACATCTTGAGGAAACCTGGACTTAATTTCTAATTACAAGTTTGACATCGACAACAAGCGTGTTGTTTAATGCTCAAACCTTCTTCATGTTAGTAGAGGCCTTTGCTCAGCAGTGGGCACTTATAGCTTAATGTTAAGAATGATGATTATGAATAAAATACTTTAAAGTTTCAATATCATTTCATTTATTTATCGTAAAGTATTACAATATCGATTGATATTTCAATAACACTGAATGAAAACCTTAATCTAAAGATACAATAAAGTCATCAAATTGAAAACGTGAAGTGGTTGCCTAGCTTACTATCAAGAACAATATTTGGGATACAAAAAATCGATGATAGGTATAAGTAATCGATAAATCGTATCGAAATATCGAATGCTAATTTCGACATTCCGAGAGATTTATCCGTGTAAGACTTATCTAACATTAAAAGTGCTGTTGATTTGTTTTTATTTAGACTCGTTCGCTGGAACGTCGGATCCATAGATATAAGTCGGATCCTCTTTATGGTATAGACAATACAATTGTGGACTCTGTAGGTACTTGGAATCAATTGTAAGTTTTTACAAAATAATTCTAGGGTAATGAAATAATTTTGCTAAAACACTTCCATGTAGTGTTATTGAGTTAGGAGAGAGTAAGGGGTTCGGATTTATTTCTGACCCTAAAATCTATTCGAAACTAGGGGATCGCCCTTGCTTTGCATGGGCATACCACTACCCCGGTGTCCGTCATTTGTTTTGCAAGTGAAGTTGCCAATTCCCGATATTCCCTTAAACTTTTCTTAAATTTTCTTTCCTATGAACCTTCTCCTTAGAATAACGAGCATAACAAAAAAATAATTGGTAAAATTGGTCCAGGCGTTATTGAGTTATGCGCTTACCAACAGATTTCGCTATTCATTTTTATATTATAGAATTATAATTATAAAGATTACAAATGGCGATTTACAATCAAACAAACAATCTAAATGAAAACAAATCTTCAGCATTTTATTATAAAAAACTTAATTTTCGTTTCAAATAATGTGTCAATGGCATTCTTTTCATTAAAATTATGTTTAATATTTAGTAACGTCAACAAAATTGAACAGTTATTTTTTTTTGGTTGCAAACGTCAGATAGGGTTAGGTAGGTATGTAAATAAAGATAACTTATTAAAATATCAAAGAAAATACAAACTGTCGATGTTTTTAGGATAAAAAATTCAACAGTAACTTTTTATTTTAATATATTTTTGAAAAGTTTGCAAGAGAATTCGGAACTCAGGTGTAATCAATTACCATTTTCAAATTTTACATAAGTACTTTGAAAATAAAAATAAAAATATTTTTTTTCTTGACCTTCTTAACTGCGCAAGGGTAGATTTGTAACACGAAAACAACACCAGCACTATATTTGAAACAAAAATTCCCAGTGCACTAAGACAATTATGACTGTAACATTAAATTTATCAAAAAAAAGAATAAATGCATATCTTAAGAATTGCATAACCTGTAGTGTCTTAAAAACTAAATACACATAACCTAAAAAAATCGAAGATATTTGTGACTATTTCCCTTAAAAACTATGACATTAATAATTAGGTATTATTACAAAGATTTTTTTCGAAAAAAGCATTTTTAAGGCACCTCGCATTTTTGGTTTGCATCAACAGAAAGAATTTTCAAAATGTTATCGTTAAGTAGAGAAATCTTTACCTAGTTAATCGTAAGAGGCTCATGACTTTGATCCATAGTAATATGATTGCGTTTCTAATTGTAATCATCCGGCACGCTACATTGTAAATTTAATTTAATCATAGCAAGTAAACGACTACTGGTTTCTCCATTGTTTTGATTAAAATATACTATGTTATCATTATCATGAGCTTTAAGGGCCTTTCATCTAAACATTTTGTATAAATTCCGACTTAAAACCACAAAAAAACATCACACACACAATGTTATCCGCCATCTTTTTAATCGCACTTACTTCTACACTGCGAAACTAGATGGCGCTGACTGTCTTACATTGTAAACGAAAAATATTCATAATAGTTTTCATAAAATATAATCACTATATTATTCTAGGTGAATATTTATAACTAAATAATTAGCCACTGAACGATGAAAGACCCAAACTTATAACTAATAACGAACACCAATGAAGTAGGTATTATACTTTAATATGGCATTACATTCATAAATAATTATCCATTAAGAGATCAAAATTAAGTTCTTTTTTCGTTTTAAAAATTATTAATTTCTCTTACATGATTTTCTGCTAATAGTAACATATCTTTATAAGGAATATTTTTCTCTTTTTTACGTGAAATAGTATTTATATTAATTGCACAACATTTTAACGAATTTTAACAATTAATTCTATTCCTAGGAAAGTAACCATAACGAATAGGTAGGTTTCATTATAATGGCGCCAAAACGAATTCTAATGTCATCTCAAACTGTCAACTCAAAAGAAATGTTACCATCTACAAAAAGTACAATTTTAATGCCTATACTCACATTCCAGCACTTCGTTAATAATTTTACAAAACAAGTAAGACATTTTCATTTGTTTAGTTTTAAGTTTTTCTAACATTCGTAATAACTTCGTTGTAGTAGCTAACTTCGTTATTGGTAGATTTAATGATGTGAAAAAATAATATCTTTTCTTTTTTGTTCACGACAAATGTCAAAAGAGCGATAGTAATTTATTACAAGAAAAAAAAAAATCGAATTGGTATATTACACAGCTGACTTTAAAATCAACTTGATTGAAAAGTTATTTTGTTATCACAATGATGGATTTTCATTTTGTTGTTAATAGATGGCGCTAGTGAGATATAAGACCATTAGGCCTTGTATTTTGACAGTTGAATAAGTTCATTAGCAGCTTAGCTTTCATGTGCTTTAATGACAAATGATTTATCATAAGCACGAATTCTATTGGTCAATAAACCTTATATCTCACTAGCGTCTCTTGAATTTTACTAGGTATTTAAGTTTGTTCGTTGCTCGCCGTCCATTCCTGAACGTTCGCGAAGTTAGCCGAAGTGTGACGTAAATTCAAAATGTAACGGTTATGTTATGTTCGGTCGTTGTAGTCGCTGTCGTGTCTGTCTGCTTTGGTCACACACGTCTGTCATTTAGACAACGTGGACCTGAAATGAGAAAAAAGATCAATTAGTAAAATATACTTTTCACACACTATTTAGACGTTTTTTTCTTTGGGGTAGGTGAAAATCATCAAATGACTTCTCCCACCCTGGGCCAGGCGGGAGGGAGTGTCAGACTCTTACTGACTAAAAACCCCCCTGTTCCTTTTCCTGCTCGGGGCCGAGGTCGCGGTGCCTCGTTGCGCTTACCCCGCAACCCCGGCTGAACATCAGCCCTATAGGGCCCCCGCCGGTGGTGATCTATTGGCACTATTTAGATGTGACAATGGATTTGGGACTGTATAACGAACAATAATATTCAAACTCTATTAAAGAATGTGAAATGATTGCAGTTAATTACGTGCACGTTTGAAAATTAAAAAAAAACATAGTAAGATGTTAATCGAACAACGTGTAACCTACTATTGTTCAGTCGTTGTGTACGAAGGACCCAAACAATTCAATCAATTGGATAGGCGAGGATGAGAGAAGTAATTTGATGATTTTCCCGTCTCATAAAACCTTCTTTTGCTAAAAGTTATCATTAAAATAGAAATTCTATATTATACCCTGTGATTATACCCGTAACTCTACACTACTGCCATCTATCCGCAACTAACGGCAACAAGACAATTATAACCTCGAAAAAAGTTACAGTCTTAACAAAGGGCACCAGATCAAACCTATGACCTAAGTATACACCGTTAGGGTACAATTTCACACGGCTATCATGTCTATGATGTTGGAACTAAATTATATCCTGATTTACAGCTACCATCCAGATTACGGTACACTTCATGAGTGACGTTACACCCATAATGGCTGTATGTTGAGTTTAGATAAAAAGAATGGCCAAAAATCTAAAGCGGACCGCTTTTTTGCCATGTTGGAGTGAAGACAGAAGGCTCGTTTGAATTTTTTGATGGTAAAGTTCGGCAAGCGAGTTTGCTGTTCTTTTTGTAGTATCAATGCCGCTCATGAACACTTCGGAATGTTAGACAATTAGTGCATAACCGTTTTATTAAGATTTTTTTATGTGGTAAGCAATCTGCGCTGGCTATAGCCACTCGCAATACCAAAGGAGTTAAGTACTACAAGTGCCTTTTTTTTATTTAATTGATCAGCAAACGAGCAGACGGATTACCTGATGGTAAGCAATCAACGCCGCCCATGGACACCCGCAACGGAGGAGTTACGAGTGCGTTGCCGACCTTTTAGGGATTAGGGATTTGGTGTGGTGTGGTTGTTTCACGCCGGTTTTCTGTGAGGCCTCTCGTTAATTATTAGTAAAGATAGGTTTGATCAATCTCAATTCTCATATTAGAGAAGAAAGGATTTGGCCTCCGGTAACCTCAATCACACGGCTTAGGATATTAAAATTTGTAGGTGGTAATGCCACTTTTCAATTTCTATACCTATTGAGGGTTTTTTTTTGGAAAAACTTCACGTTACATGCCTTGGTTGAGGCGAGAGGGAGTGTCAGACTCTTACAGACCAAAATCCACACAGATCCTTTTTCTGCTTCAGGTCGATGTCGATCGGATGAAGGCAGGAATACGCCTCCAGTAAGATTTCTAATACGATGAAACACAACGCACAGTTTCTCGCCGGTTATCTGTAAGGCCATGGCATCACTCCGAAACAAGACTGGCAACTTCTGCGAACCTTTTGCATGTGCCTCGATTGCGGCAACTATCACAAAACAGATCTTCGTATCATACAAGTGATTTGTAACCGCGATTAGAGAATTTTGTATTCTTACACCGCGATAAAACCACATTCTTTCAATCTCTTGGATTTTTATGCGCGCCTAGTACCTGGACTGTTCGCAAATGGGTATGTTAACGCTGTATTTGATAAGTTGGGTGGCTAGAAGTGATAGATGGTAGCTTTTAGTTTTAATGTGTGCAGTTTTATGTTGTCGTACTATACTTGTTATCTTATTGTGTAATCATGAAAGATGTTTGATTTCAACTAGGTTTATGGGGACCGAGAAAGACTGATGCGGTTTCGTGTTTTAAATTTATTTGAATGTATATTTTGTATAAGTGGAAAAGAATGTTATTGTTTGAGTTGAGAACATTATATTTTGTTTCTTTTTAATTTTGCGATTTTTTAACGCTTTTTCAATCCAAACTTTCAAATTAATATTATAAATGCGAAAATAACTCTGTCTTTCTATCTTTCTGCCAGTCTGTCCTTTGTTCACGCCAAAACTACTGAACCGATTTGTTTTTATAATAACTATCGTGAGACATACTAAATAAACTAAAAATCACGGGTTACTCACGTGTGTCAATTGAGAAAGCTCTACTAGTAGTCAATTTACACAAGTGAGTAACCCGCGATTTTTAGTTAACTGAACTGATTTGTTGTGAAATTTGGTACGGACATAATTTGAAACTCAAGAAAGGACATAGAATAGTTTGTACACCAAAAATCTGCAGGAAGTCACTATTCCACGCGAGCGGAGTCGAGGGCAAAAACTCATTTTTGTATAAGTGAAAAATAATGTTATTGTTTGAGTTTAGAACAGTCTTATTTGTTTCTTGTTACCTTTTATTATTTTTTAATACTTACGATGATAACGGACAAGGATGAGAGAGAGAGAGAGAGAGAGAGAGAGACAGAGAGGAAGCAACAAAGAAAAAAGTATTTCTAGCTTTATCTATAAAAAAAACAGATTCAATTAAGCCACTTTTTCCTCCCTTTGTGTTTTCCTATTTATCAATAAAACACCACAATTTTACATAGTACAAAACTTTCTTAAAGTTTCAATGTTGCATTATTTTGTTCGAAGTATGTGTGTATAAATAATTCACTTGAAATACACACACCTGCCTGGTTGTCGATACTAGTGATGGGCGAGTCAGTAAAAAACGGGAATGGTAAAACGAATGCGGTAATATTGGAGATATTATTGTGTATACATTTTTTCTGTTAAAAATATGCGATTATTATTTCTTCCAGTGTTTTCCAAAGTCGGTTTGGATCGACAGTATACCTGTATTTTTCATGAACCAACTGATAACTCTCCACAATCTTTCGTTTTGATAACAACGAGATAGCGGTCAAGCGCGAACCAATATAACCAATGAATCAATAAAAAAATAAATAAAAAAACCTGTTACAGTTAATACTAATACCCCATTTTATGTACCTTACACTACTCATTTTGTTTTAATGGATATCTAAGCATATGGAATGGGCCTCTGGTCACCTCACTCGCACGGCGAAACACAACGCTGTGGTTCTTTCACGGTTTTCTTTGAGGCTGTGATATCACTCCAGTCGAGCCGACTCATTCGTGCCGAAGCTTGGCTCTCCCACAATTAAATACTGGTTATTTTGCACAAAGAACTAGTTTTTTTTACCGTGCACAGCCCATCACTAGTCAATACTAATACATATGAAATAGATTCTATCTATAGTGAACTTTAAAAGAGTTTTTGTGACGTTTTTTCTTCGTATACATTGTAGTTGAAGAAGCAACGATAGGGTTTTGCTGGCTAAAGGGCAGTTTACATTTGACGATTTAAAACCGTTTAATGTATAATTGATAGTTTACCGAACTCTAAAATTAAGTATCGTGACATCATATCATCAGCCTGTAAGTGCCAACTGCTGAGCAAAGGCCTCTTCTCACACAGATAAAGTTTGAGCATTAATCGCCCCGCTTGCTCAAGGCTGATTGACGATTTCCAACTTATAAATAGAAATTATAAGTCCAGAGGGCCTACCATGCAGTGTTAAAGCGTGAATCTTCCGGGCGAGAAAGAGGGATGGAGCTATAAAAGGTGTAGAGGTAAAGGGAGCTATACAGCATAGTACAGTAGGAGTACTGGCATAGGCCTACTGGTCTCCTCACGATGTTTTCCTTTACCGTACGTCTCTGGTGTCTAAAATTAACTTAAAAAATACACATGACACGAAGTAAGTATATCACATTGGTACTTCCCAGGTTTCGGACCTGCGCCCTCATGCATGAGAAACGGGCACCTTAAACATCGGGAAATCAGGACTACGAATGATGTGCAAAATGTTAGGTAGACTTTCCAATATTTAATTAAAGAACCAACAGAAATTCCTTAAAAAACAAACCTCTCTACAAAAACACACTTTAAAAATGTTTGGATAACTCCAGTTCTTTAGATGTTGATGATCGATTATATTATAAGTTAAATGGTGTAGATAGGTTACCTAAACAAAATTCGATTTTCAAAAACGACTTACAAATACACACAGAAACAATTCGTATGTTTAGACGTCAAAGTGAGATGGCATGATTCAATAACTGCGAGTGAAAAAGAGACAAATATGAAAAAGTGTAGCTAGTTAGCCACATTTTAATGTATCACTTGCTGAGCGCTTGTAACCTAGACTACACCTTTTTACTAATATCATTGTTGATGATGTCAAAATTTAAGGAGGAAAATGGCGACTATCAAATGTGTTGGACGAATCTTGCATTATTGTTTATGTAGTTATGTGGTCTTTTTTTTCTTCGCTTGCTACCAGACGACTCCTATACTTATTTGCTATCGACACACGCAAAAAAACCCAACAATACTTTTTTAAATAATCATCACTAAGATCTCCTTTTCAAAAAGCTATACTATACCTACTCGACAGCAAAAAGTTTTTATCACTAAAATTAATAACACGAATCCATGTACCTATTAATATTAGTTTTAATAAAAAACTTACACGTCATACTTAGTAACTGATTTGATGTAATTAATTAGTCAAAACGAGTTCAAAGATCTTCACAGCTCTAATTTATTTATACGAAAATATATTGACAGATGTGTTTAGGCGGTCGACAAAAAGTTTGGTGCAAAAAAAATATGTAATTTGAAATCAATCACAGATTACTAATGTACTAAAAAGTTTTTATACCAAGCCGTTGAAATTATAATTATGGTTTTAAGATGGGTTAATATTTTATAACATTCTCGTATTAAAACTTAACTCATCGTTACGTGTTTTAAAAATTAAACTCAATG